TATTTATTTAGCTATTTATTGCTGTTTATAGTTGATGTAAATATTCTCTATGGTGTTTTGATCAGTTGGATTTTTCTATTGCTCTTTTATAAAACTATGCCCATTTTATTTAGTTCATGCCAGTTTGCTTCTGTCAGTGGAATTTCCATCTAGAATTGTCCCGAGTTCAATCACAGATGACCTTTTTCTCACCTTTCTTTGTGATCAGACTGACCTTTTTCTGTGCATATCCACTGCCACTATCCTTTATCCTTTATAATGCACTCAAATGTTGAACACTGCTTAAATCTCATCATTTCGTAGTTGTCAAAGCACAAATTTTAAGAAGTCTCAATTCTCCATATACGCATAGTACAATTACATAATACCATTTTCAGGTCTAAGAATAAAAATGGAGTGTTTAATGGCATCTTGTAACTCAGCTTTTATAATGATCTTGAAATAAGTCAATCTCCTAACTCAGTCAGTGGCATCAAGCAAAGTCTTGAGAATTGTAATGGGAGTAGTGTGATATGAAATTCAGACTGTTAGGGTAGTCTTTATCAGAATAAGTGTGCCTCAGTCTCTGCAGCTGACTTCAGCTTTTGTATCTGTGCTGTGAAGAGGTTTTCCAGTGAATAGAAGCCATGAAGGTTTTTATGCATAGATCTATACGACCTTGACCAGTCACAGTTCAAATTCAGGAGATGATGTGCTTTGTCAAAAAGTGTGCCTTGTGATTGATGAAACTAAGAACCAGCAAGGGAGTAGTGGTAGCTTCTAAGTGGCTTTCATGAGGAGTCACACCAAGCAAGGCAGCACTATGCTAACATACTACAGTAATTAATCTATCTGTGAGATGCAGTACAGTCCAAAAACAAACAGAAACAACACGAATGAATTAGCTGGGCACCACACCAGCCCAGGTATTGATAGTGATGGTGGGAGACTGCCGTGGCTGTGTCGGCTCTTCAGGCTGCATTCGTGCTGGATGGCCGGGCCCAAAGAGTTGTGGCCAATGGATTTAAATCCAGTTGGCAGCCAGTCACGATCAGTGTCACCCAAGGCTCGGTACTGGGGTTGCTTCTATTTAAAATCTTTATTAATGATCTTGATGAGGGGATTGAGTGCACTGAGTGCACCCTCAGTAAGTTTGCATATGATACCAAGTTAGGAGGGAGTGTTGATCTGCCAGAGGGCAGAAGGGCACTACAGGGGGACCTGGATAGACTGGATCGATGGGTCAAGGTTAACTGTACGAGTTTCAACAGGGCCAAGTGTTGGGTCCGGCATTTTGGTCACAACAACCCCAGGCAACGCTACAGGCTTGGGGAGGAGTGGCTGGAAAGCTTCCTGATGGAAAGGGGCCTTGGAGTACTGATGGACAGTCGACTGAATATGAGCCAGCAGTGTGTCCAGGTGGCCAAGAAGGCCTATAGCATCCTGGCTTGTATCAGGAATGGTGTGGTGAGCAGGACTAGGGAATTAATCCTGCCCTGTACTCAGCATTGGTGAGACCTCACCTTGAGTACTGTGTTCATTTTTGGACACCTCAGTATAGAAAGGATATTGAGGTGCTGGAGCAGGTCCAAAGAAGGGCAGCAAGGCTTGTGAAGGGCTTGGAGATATGCCCTATGAGGAGAGACTGAAGGAACTTGGGCTGTTCAGTGCGGGGAGGAGAAGTCTGAGGGGAGACCTTATTGCTCTCTTCCAATATCTGAAAGGTGTTCACAGCGAGAGTGGGGTTAGTCTCTTCTCAGTGGTGACAGGTGACAGGACGAGGGGAAATGGCCTCAAGTTGCACCAGGGTAATAGGTTGGATATCAGGAAACATTTCTTTACAGAAAGAGTTGTTAAGCACTGGAATAGGCTCCCCAGGGAAGTGGTTGAGTCACCATCCCTGGACGTGTTTAAAAACCATTTGGATGTGGTGCTCAGGGACATGATTTAGTGGAGGGTTGTTAGTTAGGATAGTATGGTTAGGTTGTGGTTGGACTTGATGATCTTTGTGGTCTTTTCCAACCTGAGTGGTTCTGTGGCTGCTCATGTGAGCACGTGAGGTGTGCTGTCACATCCATGCCTGGCAACTGCTCCTCTTTGGAAGGCAGTTGTTCCTGTTAGGAAGCCGTTGACCTGGAAAGTTTTTAAGGTGGCTAACTTTTCACACTGTAAAGATGCAGGGATTCCACCAGATGAGGAGTTGGACTTGATGATCCTTAAGGGTCCCTTCCAACTTGGGGTATTCTGTGATGGTTTCAATGAAGTAAGTATGCACAGTTAATAGAAATATCTGTATCATAATAAGGCCATAAAGTTTTATAAATTAGTAAGCATATTAAACAAATTACTTAAATATAAAAATCAAAGTAGAACAAACATCTGGCTACTAGCTGAAAAATGCAAAAAATATGCAACTGTGCAAAAAACTTGCTGTATGGCTTAACTTAACAGGAAGGAATCTTGTGGATGTATACAAATGGATATGCTGGGAAAGTTTAAACTTTTTGTCATTGTATATAGACCATGAAGAACAGAAGCAGCACTTGAATTAAAAGACATCTTGCATTATTCTCCATGCTGCATGGATTTGAATAATTGCCATTGATATGTAAAAAGAACTGTGCTTTCTTCCTTTTCATCCTCAAACTTTTAACATATTGACAGCAGTTTTATAAATAAATTGGATAATACAATATACAGTGATGTTCCATACGGGTTTCATACGAAAAATCTTTAATTTTTTAAAGCATTAAGTACACAGTAGTTTTCTCTTAAACTAATGTAAATTGCATTTAAAATTCTGAGAATTCAGTTATGTTTTTATGCATTGTGTCTGTATTACAGCTGCACTTTCTTCTTTATGTAAGGTTCATGTCTGTCAGAGGCAAAGACTCAGGTTGTGGTGTGAGAATGTACTTTGTAAGAGCAAATGCATAGCATACACGGTGTACTGTAGCATTGAAGAACATCACAGAAGTCCAAAACAGAGTCAGTTCAATTCATACTTGCTTTTTAGACATTTTGCAAAGGAGTTGATGTAATCAAATGATTTACCATAAGTAAAAGAACAAATGGAAAGTTCTGATACTGTGCAAATGGAATACTGTGTATTTGCTAATCTGCCGGGAAGCTCATGTGTTTTTGGCAGTCATTTGTTCTATTCTTCTTTTAGAAATAAAGGTTTATTCTTAAGATTACAGGAAAAGAGAATTGGAGAACAATGCCTGGTTAATTACTGGTGTTTCCATTTCTCTGAGGCTCTATATGCTAATAGGAAAGCATCTATAGTACTACTACAGACATATGCCAAAGAAATGTTTTGATTTTCATCTGTAGAATATGGTTAAATAGTTTTCTAGATAAATCTTTTTCTGTTCTAAGTTCTGTTGGTGCCCCGAGCTGTTAAGTAAATGGAGCAGAAGATTTTATTTAATTTATTTTTTCAAATCAAAATGGAACGTGGCCCAAAATAAAGACAAGTAGAATTTCTGAGAACTAGACATCCAGCCACCTTCCCCACTATCAGTATTCTTTACCATTCTTAGACATTACAGATGCTAATGTACACCCCCACTAAATTTGAGGAAAATATAGTATGTACTTGAAAGGTCATCATTGATGTCTACTGGTTTTTATCCATATATTTTTTTTAATTGTAGCCCACTGGTAGAAGGAGCTCCAGCTCCCATTTCTTTGTGAGCTTCTCCAGCCCTGGCAGTCTTACCTGCTGTTCTGTGCTTTGGTTTTTCCCTTGGATACATGTCCTTTGCATTTGTCCTATAGGGTATCTATTATACTAAAACTTTTTGCTTGAGTGTCAAATTAGGAACAGTGAGCCATTGAATATAACAATGTTTTGTAAGATAAAATTTATTAGCAGAGTTCCTGAAAGCCATCCTATGTTTACAGACAGGGTGACTGAATCAGTGTTTAACAGTTTCATTAAATTCAATTTCTTGTTATTGGGAAAATCCTATTCAGCAAATTGCTGATGCTTGCTATTTCAGTCACTTGCAGTCTTTGGAGAAGACAGCTGGGTTAATACATTATTGAATATTTTTAGAATCCTTTAATGCTGAGTTCACAGGAATCTCCAAGTAGACTGAAAAGCAGCAAAGTTTTTTTGAACAGTTTTGCTTTGAAGTTTCTAAGAGGCTGCTGCAGTGCCAGTAAAATTTAGTTCTAAAGGCTATAAATAACAATAAAACAATGACTTCCATTAGCAAGTAGATCCTAATGATGGGAAGGCAAAGGAGGCCACTGGGTACAGCAGGTGCAGATGTGTACTAAGCATTATGATTTAATGGATCTGCACAGAAGTTACACTTTCATGGAGAATTTTCCTCTGAATGAACAGATATTAGAGTGACATAATATCTCCTGCATTGGAAAAAAAAAATATCTTTCAATGCAAATACATTTTCTTTGAGTTAAGATAGATGAGAGACCTTTTTCCTCTGTTGGGCTAAATCCAGGATATAAGATGCCTTGTTTTATTTTTTGAAACTGCCAGTTAGACCATATGGTTTGAAGTTACAGGAAGCCTTTTTGTTCATATTATGAGGTCAGCTACTCTCAGAAAAGAACACAGAAGATGGAAAATGATTTAGAAATTTGGAAAGATTTGGAGTTGTTTGGACTCTTTAAAACAAAACATGATTTATTTTGCAGAGTGAGAGAAGAAAGGAATTGACGAATACCAGTTGGCCTCATTTAGAAGAGTTAAAATGGGCAGTAATTAACAGCTAGTTAGCTGTACACCATCTTGATCTCAGTGGAGGCTGCCTGGATAGGGGCCATAAATCCATACTGCAAATGAGAACTGCTTCAAGATGCTTCATTTAGCTAAATGAGATGGTAGCCCTCAGCTGCTAGGAAGCTGCGAAGGCAGTATTTATTAGGTCAGAGTTTGGGACTCACCAATCTATTTCATTCCCTCTGGCTATGCAGGTGTTCATTATTGTTGACAACTTTTTTAGAGCTTCAGTAGTTTAATAGTGTGCTCTGTTTTCCTCTTGTAGGCATTTGGACAGTCTTTCTCAATTCACCGCAAAGTAGCTGAAGATGGGGAGACACGAGAAGAGACTCTCCTCCAGGAATCTGCATCAAAAGAAGCTTATTACCTGGGGAAGATTTTGGAGATGCAGAACGAGCTGAAGCAGAGCAAGGCGGTGGTCACCAATGTTCAAGCAGAGAATGAGAGACTCACTGCTATTGTCCAAGACTTGAAAGAGGTAAATGGGTGTGTGGAAGGAGCAAGGGAGTGATTTTTCTTGGAGTTTCTTGCACTGACCATTACTGAATCATGAAAATGCTACAGAATGTGAAAATACCTTCCTACCAGTCTGTGATCCTCCTGCAGGCTTGCCAGCTTGAGGGAGCTGTGGCTTAGAAAGGGAAAAAAAGAAACTCTTATTATGATTTTTAAAGAACAATACTCTACCCACTTCAGGAAGCTATAATTTTCTAAGTGCTCAGCATTTTGCTTTGTATTTTATAGTGCCTACATGAAAGGGCAATTCATGTAGCTTTTTCTTAAAAAAAAAAAAAAAAAAACACATTCTGATATTCATATAATTCCTTTTTTTTTTTCTCACCACCTGTATTGTTACTCGGCTATTTTTTGGAATTGCTTGCATTAGATAAAACTTTCAACAGTCTTCTTAAAAATCAAAATGCGTGCATGCTCACGTTCAGAAAATAGGCAACACAGCACTCTTTTCTTTTATTCATCTGCTTATCAGCCATCCATCCACTCATATAAATCTAGATTGTTCTATTGCATACCTCTCCAGTTTCAGTTCCCTATGCAGAGCAGCAGTGTGTTTGTGGGAAGGCAGCACTTAGTAGTAGCCCCACATCTTCCCTGTTTTGAATACTTGAATACGGGGGCTCCCCACTATCCAGTTGCAAGAAAAGACCTTTCTTGGGCGATTTTGGAGGACTCTTCCTACACATGAACTTAACAAAGATTACATGTTTTCTATAGTTGAGTGGAGTGGCATCCTCTTAACTTACAGTAACCCCTTGGACTGGATCCTTTACTCTAGGTTTAAAGATTATTGCACACAAAAGGATGAAGCGTTCTTATTTAACTGTTGCACTGACGTTGCACATGGTACAAGTTGGATTTCAGTAAGAAATAAATACGTGGTATTATTCAAGTGAAATATGTGGTTATAATTACTGTCTCAGTTGTTAGCAAAAAAAAAGAAGGAAAATCAATTTTATACTCATCCTAAAATCATATCCTACAAGATCTGTATGTGTAGCCAGCTACATGCTTATCCATGCTTGGGTAAAACTCGGAGGAGAGCAGAATCCTTTTAACCTGGCTTCAGTCGCAAACAACCAAGTCAGAGGAATATGTGTTTGTCTTTGTACTTGTTTCCTTCCTTCCTCAAAGGTCTCCTCAGGTTCCTTCAAATGCAAAATTCCCATTTTCTGACATGATTATTGATCTATAAGTTATTCAGAAGGCAGTTTCAATACTTCTCCTCCCTAGAATATTGATTGTCCTCATCTCTTTGGAGATAATAGCAACCCTTAGTGTGAGACCAGCTGCAGTTATTTCCTGTTCTAATGAGAAATAGAAACAAGCCTTGGTAGTTAATTAAAGTGTGGGGCAATAATTTGCTTGAATTTAAAACAGTCTGATAAACTGTTCATTTAGTTATGATATTGGACTACAAGTATAAACTTGTGCTGAACTTTGTATTTCGTGGGACTGCAATCAATGTATTTAAACATAAATGGGATTAGTGTCTTCATTACTGAGCTTACACCTGACACTGTTGATGATTAATTATTTCAATATAGTAGTATATAGAAGGTGATTGATATTACCACGTGCTGTTAGGTATCTTGTCACACTGAATTACATTTGTATTTCACCTTGTGCTCAGAGGTCTCATCCTTGTAGCAAGCTCAGTCCAATCATATAAATCTTAAATCAGTAAAATCCAAGTGGCCAGAGGAAGGAGGTGCCCTTCTGAAATATGTCCAGTTAGTTCTGGGTACTGCTAACAGGCAGCGCAATTTACTTCAAGTTTTGATAGCACTAAGATGGGGGAAAAAAAACAACGAAAAAACATTGATTTAAATGTCTGGTGCATTTTGGTGTAAAGACCATTATTAGAAGATGCCACAGGATGATAGCTACAATAAGAAAGTAATTTGTCTCTTTAGCAAGTTCATTTAACAATCTAGTTAGAGGAAAGTAGGAAAGAAAAAATGGTCTTTATGTGAGCAGCTCTACTGAGTGATGGAAAGATATTTATGTTACTTGACTGTATCCAGTCTTCCTCTCCATGCCCCCAGCCCTCTCCCATCTCTGTCCTGGGAGTTCTCTTTTGAAGATGTTCGACTTTCTGAATTTGCTCAGAAATTCATAGTTATATGAAAGCCTGTGAGCATTTTCTGAGCCATTACAATACACTCACATGAATGCTGATAGCTTTTAGGAATCTTGGGAATTCCACAGCCCCAGAATTTAAAAATTCATGCATGTTTGCAAGTATGTGCTGCGTAGTCACAGCTGTTATCTGCAGGGCAGCTTGACCTGGATCCCTGTTGTTATAATAGGCTCAGGTCTCTGGAGATTCTGCATCTCATTCTCAGAAAGCAAACAAACTGATTTCAGTGCTCATCATTAGAAAAAAGACATGTTTTGGAAAAACTGAAGTATCTGTTTCACACTGAAGGTGGAGGATGAACAAGGGATCTATGTACCCAGATGGCTTTTTAGATCCATGTTAAAATGATCAAAAGAGTAAAACAGTGGCAGCATTATTTATGATGTAATAAAACTCCCTTCCAAGAGTTCTGGATAGAAATATTATCTCCTAGGCAAATAAAATATGCACCTTGGGAACTAGGTAGATTTTTTTTCATTCTTTTCTCCCACTTTACATATAATAAGTAGAATGCTATTTGGAGATTTTTAAAACTGTCATAAGCTGAACCAGAAAATATCCTGATTTCAAAACTAATGGCAGTCTGAGACCAGATTTCATGTATTTTTTGTGCTGCAGGTGGATGGCTTCTTTGTGTGGAGAGATCAGTAGGGTTGTTTGCCCATTTAACTTTTTACAGCTGCATATGCAGTGCCTGTCTTTGTTCAAAAGGCCAAAGGAAAAAACTTGTAGAAACATATTTTGAAAATATGATCTTTTATCATTTTCCGGTTTTCCAGTGGTTGTTTTTTCTTATTTAAAAACACTGTGTTTACTTACAGTCAGGAGACGAGGGACTGTTTCTTCCATTTCTGCCACTGTGAAGTCTTTCCTTATGGTAACCATAAGCAGACTCTGTAGGTGAAAAACAAGGATGAAATCACTTTGCTGAGAAGCTGATAACTTAGTGACAGAGGTGGCCACACAAGCACAAATGATGCAGCAGAGTCTGGAGCAGAAAGTTCTTGCAATGAAATCATGGTCCTCCTCTGTAAGGAGGCTGAATGCCTTGGAGCTGCGTGTCAGCATCTAAACTGGTGGAGATTGGAGGGGAAAATGCATCAGGTGATGAAGGGAAGCAGGGGAAGCTGTGAAAAATGAAGATGAAAGATGCTAATACAGTGTTAGTTTTGTAGGTGTTATAGACTAGGATTAGGATATGTGTGAGGTGAGTAGACTAATGCCTTTGTGCTTGAAGAGTTTGGCTTGAAGAGGTGCTGCTCAGCTCTTCCCAGCACTCTTGCATTCTCTTGCATGAAACAAGACTAGTAAAAAAGAGAGGAAATATACATATGTGGGGAAGTGAAGAGTTAAGCCTCGATAGTCTGTGCTGCTAAATGTCACTGTAGCAGCTGCTGGGCTTGCAGAAAGAAATCAGCACCTGGGTACCTGCAATCCAGGAGATAACAGATGAACAGGGAGGTCTGTTATGGCCCTGCTAATGAGCCATGGCAGCAACATACATCTGGGCTTCTGGAGAGCAAAACCAGGAATAAGAGCAGTGGAAAGTAGATAGGGAGAAAAAGCAAATTGGTGAGGGATTATATGCTGAAACCAAGTGAAAAAAAATCTAAGATTAAGTTGTGTAGCTCTCCTGCCCTTGAAATCAACAGCAAAGCTTTTATTCTCTTCAGTGGTACAAAGATCTTGTACTTCCTACTGATCAGTAAGAGCATGAGAGTAATGGCTTGGACTCTAAGGGGAATATGTATATGATGTGAAGTGTCAGCACTTGTTCTGAGTGAGTTATTACAAGAAGTCTCTCTGCTAGCTATAGCCATTTCAGAAATGCAGTTTCATGCTAGTGGCCACACCCACATTCTGAAGAATATGTACATGAGAAATGGAAAAAGTGATATTTTATATTAACTGCAACTTCAAAAAATTGATAGTTGGCTATTTCTGTTTTAAAAGTGATACTTCTTCATTTTGAAGAATCAGAAGTTTTTCTCTCTTTCTTGACAATTCAAAATAAAGCCTAAAAACTTTTTATGTCAGCACATGTCTAGTAAATACCCCTCACCAATTTTGTGTTTTTTTGTTGCTGAAGGGTAAGACTATAACAGGAGTTGTGTACGTAGTGCTTCTTGCTTAATACAGGATGTAGTTACATCCAGAACAGAACCTTAGTGGAATCTTCCTGGAAGCTCCTTCTGTAGTAGATGCCTCCATTTTCACCTGTAGAATTTTCTGTCCATCTAATGGTCTGTTTGAGTCAACTCCAGGAACACCTCTGGCTTGCACTCAAGTCTGCTACTACTCTTTTTGCTGGATATTGAGAACTTGCTGTAGGATCTCCCAAGATGTTTCCCCATCTGACCTCATCCCTGGGTATTTTTAGTGCTGACCTAGTTGGAGGAGAGAGAATGCCAGTAATGTCCTATGCTTTGGTTCCATGATAGGGCAAGGAGAGATTTAGATTGGGTATAAGAAAGAATCTGTTTACAGTAAGGTGGAGCAGGTTGCCCAGAGAGCTGGTGGATCTCCCATCCCTGGAGGTACTCAAGTTCAGGCTGGATGGGGCTCTGAGCAACCTGATCTACCTGTGGGTGTCCCTGTTCACTGTAGGGGGGTTGGACCAGATGGCCTTTAAGGGTCCCTTCCAACTCAGTAATGATTTTTTGATTGTTGCAAGGTTTGGGACTCAGATGTCTTCTCTGACTGACAGAATATGGATCCACTGCTTCAGCAGTCAGTGACAGGCCATTTTTAGGGTAAGATTCCTTTAGGTGAAGCTGTTCCACTTTGTTGAGGGGATAATACTTTGTGTGTCAGAGTGA